TCAGAAGAACTTTATGAAATATTTCAGGGACCTAAAGCAGGCATTTAACTGGCTCTGCTCGAGAACTTCGACAACTTCGATAACCTGATAACGCATGCGGTTAGCCTTTTTAACGATTGAAAATTATTTTAACAAAATCAGTTTAATCACATGTCGATGATATGAAGCTGAATTACTTGACAGCAATTGATATGCTGCTGAGATGCTCAATTTCATGAATTTCACTATTTTTTGGGGTAATGTTTGTGACTGGGAACTTTTGCAGAATTAATTTGACTTTTTGCTGGTTTCATGGATTTCGTCCCAAGTTGTGTCGGCTTACTCGCCGGATGTATTAAAATTGAACATTTATTTTCAATTGATACACATGAATTGACTTGCTTGATAAAATTTCAAATTTATTACCGTCCAGTGCATCTGGTGTAGAGGTAACACATAAACTTGAGGCAACCCAGGCCTGAAGTTTTTCTTAAGCTAGAAATTTTCTGTTCTTTCGGTTTATCGTCCATCTCTTTTTTTTTGTCGGCTGAGATACCGTATCACTAACTCTCTTTCTCTAAATTCGGCTTTTTTTATTTTTCTGATTACCATATGTGGTAGTATCTTGGTCACAAAACGTTTTCGGAAATTTTGCAGCTTTTTTGGAAAAAGTATCAAAATTAGTTATTTTGTCGTTCAGTGTGCTCAAAAAAGTCAGGCACCCTTTTTCGAGCGCTCAAAGCCAACTCCATAAGGAAATATTCACAAAACACAAGAAAAATAATCTTCAAAAAAACTTTTAATATTTTAATTTTTTTTTTGTTTTTCTAGCTCAGTTTCCAATTTCATCATTGGAACTATCTTAGCTGCTTCTTGAGGGTCATGCTGTTTGAATCCTGTTGTATCGTAAGTAGTGGGAATTTTCAATTAATTAAATTTCAAGAAAACCTGCTGTTCAAAAATGACAATTAAAGCAAAAAAGTAAATGCACCATGCACTTCATTACAGCTACAGCATTGTTTTTTTTGTTGTCCGTTTTTTGTGACCTAATTCTTTTCAATTGAAAATATAGCATTCAGTGTGTGTCGGTATTTTTCAGGCAATTACAAAGTGATCTTCTGCATATTCTTCCCACGATCTTACTCAATTTTCTCGAAGATGTCGAAATGAGCCGGTCTTGATTTAGTACCCTGATGGAAACTGTTAGAAACATAAGTTTTTTTGTTTTTTTTCTTACTTTTATAAGAAATTTAGCGTGTAATGTTTTTTTGCAACTTATTTGAAATTATCCAAAAACTTAAATTATTTGTTCTTTCTGATCTGATCTTTCTTTTCATGGATCTGCTATATTAATTATGATTTTTTGGCTTTATATGGTTTTTAGGGCCATTTTGACAAACTTAGTCCTAAAGTGTTTAATCTTCTCCTTTTTAAGAAGAAATATGTGTAAATTCACAATTGTGCTTTGCAATGAAAAGAGTGCTGTATCACCAAAAAAAACAAATCCGGAAATCAAATCTTACTCAAACCTTTAAGAACCTTAACATCATAAAAAAACTTGAAAAATTCTCACCTAATACTACAGAGAATCTCCCATTTTTAGAGAGATAGTCAATAGAGTAACAAAAAAACGCCATCGTAGTGCTTTCGTTCTTATAAGCAGTTTTAGCCGTAGAGCCATTTTAATCTCTCCCATGAAAAAAACTCCCATAATAGTTTTCAGAAAAAAGCAAAATACCAACCTTGCAAAATAAATTTTGCCAACCTGGAAACGCTTGCAACGACAGAAAACTTTGTCTGTTTTTTCGAAACTGTATCCAATTTTGAGCATTAATAATCGATTATATTATGATTTAAGCAACAGTTTTACTGATTTTACTAGCAATTAACAATCGTCTGGAAACTCTCTCTTTTAAAACAAAATATAATCAGTTAGAATTTGTTTTAATCGATGCTAGTTGATCGGTTATCCATCTGCTTTTCGATGCAAAAATAAATTCCCATTTCTAATTTAATTGTTTTGCACAAAAATTCATAAAAATCGATTTAAATTGACTATAATACTTTTTGTTTGCCCATTTTTTCTTCGAGATTACATCTGATTTGCTTATATTTTATGCTTTTTACAGAGGTTAGCTTTCGTCAAAAATGGGTAGTTTTCAAACCATTTTTAAATTTATAACGTTTTTCTTTTGTCAAGTCCTCTGGATTACCGTTTTTCGTGATGCACATTTTAAGTTTTTTATTCACCAAAATGACAGCACATTATTTGAGTTTCTTGATGTATTTGGAAAATTTTTTTCGCCGACCGCGGGGATCTTTCAACTAATATAAAGTGGTTTTCATGAAGGTTTTGTTTTGTGGTGAAACTTCGGGTTCAGATGAAGCAAACTGTAACAAGGCATCTCACTTTTATAGATTTTGTTGTTGACCCAAAAATAACCCACATAACAAATTAGAATATAATCTCGTGTGACAAAACTTTGGCAAAATACGAGATTGTGATCTATTATAATCAATTTTCATCGATTTAAAAAGCTTTTCTGTTTGAACTATAAACAATTATAATGATTTTTCGGAATGCACTGTAACCTAATTTCGCTAGGTTTCGCTATAACCTAGTTTCGCTATAAACTTTTTGGAAAAATAAGTAGGAATCCGTCATGAGTTTTGTTTCGAACTTGAACAAGCCAATAATTTTTATTAGTTAATTTTTTTAAAATTGAAATTGAATTCGGAAATTGTTTGGTATCAAATTAGTTTTCCTACAATCAAGCTAGCGTTTTAGTTATTTGAGCTTTGATTTTCATTTGTTTGAGAGGTTAATTAATGCGTTGGTAGTTGTTTCAATTATTTGGCAAAATGTACTCAAATTTCGCATCAGGACAAAACTGCAAACTCTGTTTGTAACTATTGCCCACTGTCTGGTAACTCTATAAGAAAAAACATGAAGGTAAAACCTCGCCTCTCCTACAACACGCAATGTCAAGTATAGTTTTTCAGAAAAGCTTTAGAAAATTTTATTTTCGTTTTTCCTCTTAGGATTTTTTAAATGTAAAAGCTCTATCACAGTGAAATAAGTTTTCGGCTTTGAGCACAGTTTCAAAAACTAAAAAATTATTTGAAAAGGTTGTGACGGTTTTACATTTTCCTTTACTACCAGAGCGAAAGCTGAAATGTTCCTTTACTGATTATTAAATTATGGCTTAAAGAATAAAAAACAAGGAAAAACAAAGCTTTAGTATGAAAAAATTCGTAATGAGTTTTTTGAGTGGTTTTAATGATGTTTGTTAGTTTATTAAATTATTTTGTTCCTTCAACTCCGAAAAAAAATAAAACATTTTCACATTGAAAGATCTTCTTTCTTTCTACAGATTAGAAGTAATTACAGATTTAGAATTTAAAGTTAAATCAATTTTCATTTCAGTGGTTGCCAACTTGCAGCACAACTTTTAACATTAAAAATTTTAAAAATCTTCAAGAAATTATAGTAAACTGATTGAAATTGTGAGCAAAATAAGATAACTAGAATACTTTTTCAAATTTATTTTGTTTTACAGGTTCGTTGATTTTTTCCGAAAAATCTAGTCCAAAACTACATTGATCATAAACATATCTCTCCAAAAAAGTTGCGCTAAAATTGTTTGTTATGATCTTAGCTAAACAAGTATTGAAATCAGGGGCAGATTTAGGGGGGGGGGGCAGACGCCCTTTCCTCAGGGATTCGACCCCTTGCCGACCCAAAGGGTCCCCCTTGGTACTAATTTGAGATATACATTTTAGGTGACGGACCGTAAAATTTAAACTAAGCATATCATTTATCTAATCAGAAATACTCATGTCTTTTATGAAAGGTTTCGAAAAATAATTTAAAATAAGCTTCCTCTTATGTCAAAAAGAATCAGTACCGATTCAGAGTGATGGTAAATATACTTAAGATTAGTATATATCAAAATTTTTATATATTGGAGCCTAAGGCGCCTTTAGAAAATTTTTAGGGTCCGTCACCAAAAAAAAATATCTCAAATTAATACAAAGGGGGACCCTTTGGATCAGCAGGGGGTCAATTCCCTACAGAGAGAAAACGATGGTCCCTCTTACCGATTAGTTTTTACGCCATTCTTTTCGAGTCTGATGGTGTTGAACAATTCGTTTGTTTCCTTCCCTCCAAATCCAGAATATGAAAATTGTGAAGCCCGGGTTGATTTCAGGAAAATTGTGACTGAGAAATTCTGAAAAACAAGCTAATTTCCGTTTTTTCTCAGATTCACACGTCATTCAAGTCCCCATCGTCAAGCCAAAGCATATTTTACCTCAATTCCGCGGCGATAAAGAGGCAAACAATTTTCCGTGTATTAGTCGAGGCCAATGATGACTAGTTTTATACAGTGAGTCAATACATATTTCAGAAAAAAAAAATGAAAAGTTGAGCGATTGTTTAGTATTCTAAGTTTTGCATTAAAGTGATATAAATAGTTAAAACACACTATTATGCAATTAGGTCCATTAAATTTGGATGAAATTAAACAGCACGTACTTGATGGGGTATCTTGCTGTATTTGAAGCCATTAGTGGGCTGACGGATGGAATTGATTTACTGGCCAGGTACTTTAATATGAACGTAAAGATCAAAACTTTTTTTCATGCTGATAAAATTTATGCGGCTGTTTATTCAAGTTTTCATAAAATTTTTATGTAATTCAAATGTTGAATGACTATAAAAATCATCAATTTTGGGTTTACTTTGACTGTTTTTTATTAACTAAATGGCGTTCCTTTTTTTCTTGCCAATAAGAAAATGTGCGTTTACTCTTGATTGTAGAAGATCAATGTTTTTTGGAATAAAAACGCACCAAAATAGCGCTCTATGTGTGATCAGAGTTCATGGCAAAGACCTGAGAAGGGGAATAAAAAAATATTTAATTCCAATTGAAGATATTCCGAAGTTTTCCCAGAATTTTGTCATAATTTTGCTGGCTGATTGTATAACTGCTAAATATTTCAGGAGGTATTTAAGAGTTCTTATTAAATTTTGCAGTAAATGTTTATGGAAGACATTCCAGGATGGTTTCAGATTCATCGCACAATTGTTTTCAGACTTTTGCATGCAAACTATTCAAGTGGCATAGCAATGGCAGTTCAGTGGCAGCCATCTACTTAATGACTGCAATGGCCTTGGACCGTGTAGTGGCCATAAAGTACCCATACACCCATTGCACATACAGGTTGAAAAAGGTAGCCACGGTGATTGGTACTATGCGGCTACCTACTTAACACAAGTATGAAGCTGGGAACATTTTTTGTTATTTATTTTAAATCTCTCAACTAGTGGCACTTGAATTTAAATTTCGAAACGGCGTGTTCTGTGGTTTCAATTTTAAGACACTCATACAAAAAACTTCAAAAGTTCAAAACGGTTGTTAATACAGATTACAATAAGTCATTGTATTTCTCTAATCAACGAATCAGATACATGAACTTGGCGCATTTGATGCGAATGAAAATTAAACTTTGAACACGGCAATGACTGGGTTTTATGCGAACCCTTGGATTTTATTCCTAAATCTTTTGTTATTATTATTATTATGATATTTGTAAAGCGCAAAATGGCTGCTCTGCACTTTGTATCAGGCCGCAATCTTTTTTGTACAAAAGAAAATCTAAATAAACATTCAATTGAATATATATATATATATATAATAAATTTTCAAAACGTTCTTCAGGTCCTCTTCTGTTCCATAGCGAAGAAGTCGAGACTAAGAGAGAGTCTGCTGTCCCGTTATTGATTCTTGTCTCTGCAAAAATTGTATTCATAAAATCTCTCAAGGCTCGCAAAAAAATTTAATCCCACTTCAATACAATACCCTCCAATAACCCCCGTGCAAACGCTTGAGTGACCCCGGAAAGATTGACAGATGAACAAAAACGAGGCTGATGGCGATGAAACTTCAGTGGCTCATGATGGCGAAAGCTGAGCGACCTAGCTGCAAAATCTATTTGGCAGCCAGGACGCTCATCTTCCGTCATCATGAGCCACTGAAGTTTCACAGCCGTCAGCCTAGTTTTTTTTTTCATTTGCTGCCTCCAGGTCTTCGAAATGGCTGAACCTCGAAATAAGATTAATGCTCAAAAGAACTTTTTTCTTGATTAACTGGTTCCATCTAAGATATGCTTAATTCACATCGGTTGTTGACAAATGGAAGAGTTTTTCTTGGTTCGAAAAAAATTGGTTTCTAAACTTTCAAACCTATAACTGTAAACGCTCCAAGTTTCAACCAAAAGACATTTCTGCCGGGTTTTCATTTCATTTTACATATCTTCGATGCCTCATGAGAACACGCTGAAAAAACGCTGAAAAAGGTATCCGCTAACTCAATATATCTCGCATAATTTATACATAATGTGGCTGCATGCTTCGCAATTTGTTATATGCAAAGTTAGAGTGGATGACTTCAGTTTGTTATATTGCAAATTATTAATTGCAAAGTTGAGTCTATTTGTATTTGGTTCCGAATCGCTTTGCCAATTTGTTAGCATAAGTAGCTGCTTCATTCTTGACTAGTGTTTTTCGGTTGTTACCCGTACCCAACGGAGGCTGTTTTTCTAGATAGAAATTTTATGTAGATTATCCAGCCTAGTTTTTTCGTATTTTTTGGGCAGAAGTGATCAATTTTTTTTCTAGTTAAGAAATGAACAGTTTGTGGAAAGAAAAAACCAAAAATCGGTTCACTGTTCAAAAGCATCGAGATAAAAATGCTTCATGTATACACGATAACAGTAGCAAAACAATACAAACTAACACTTGTTATAACAATTGTTATTTTGCTAAAACTATTAATCTTTATCGAGGTTTGAAGCCTAGCGATTAGACCAACAATATTGAGAATAGAAGGTAAGGGGTTCGAGCCCCACCAGGAGACTTTTTTCTAGCAAGAAATAGCCTAGATTTAGCTAGTTTTTGATATGAATTAGGGTGAGAAATAAAGAAATTTAAGAAAATTTCCTTTTTATTTAAACATTTCAAAAAAGTTTCTGACCACAAATAGATTAGATATCAAGTATTTTATGTTAAGAAAATTTTTTTTTACTTAGTATGGGTAAGCTTAAGTGGCTGCGGGCATAGTGCGTGCGACTCTGAATCTCTTTATTTAAGTTTTTACTATTTCAAGGCTTTCTTCTACCTTTTTTTTGTTTAATTTGATAGAGCTGCTTTCTGGTCTTGTTCTCGCAAGTGTTTGCAAAGCATAGCTTCGTATCTGTGTTTATACTTCTACTTCGGCCACTTGGCATCTTTCTCCTACTGATCTTTTGTTGTATTTGGCTTTGATTTTTGTCAGGCTACATTACCACCATTTATTAGGCATTTTCATCTTGCCTGTAATCCTGGATTCGTCTTTTCAGGATATTCCATTGCTTGCTTTCAAAAATTCGGGAAAGTCCATCTTCCTGTACTATGAATGATTCAGTTTTATTCTAGCATCTGATTCAATGTCAGTGTAGTGTCTCCCATTACAACTATGTATGTGTCTAATTAGATCATCTGAAGGTACATGTTTTGTCCTGGTTCATTTTCCAGTTTGCCGTCGAACAACACCAGTTTATTCGTTCTGACTGATGTGACTACCCGCACTGACAAAAATGGATTTCCATTGATTTTAGTATGAAAAAAGTATGCAGATTAGATTGAAATTGATTTAAGTTGTAAAAAAAGTAAGTTAATCAAAACAAAAAATTCAGATCGATTTGGATCGATTTTAAATCGATTTAATTTCAACGCTAAAAAATCGATTCCGGTCGATTTTAAATCAATTTGAATGGATCTTAAATCTGACCTAAAATGAAATCGATCGAATTTTTACTTCTTTTTTTTTCTTCAAGTTTTTGAATGGCAGAAAAAAAAATGAAAACTTTTGTTACGTGTCGTTACAAAAACCAAAAATGACTAAAATGCTTGTAAGACTTTTTCAGGTTATTTTTTCAGGCGAACTTGTTTTGTTTGTGTGTAATCAACTTGATTATTTTGATTTGGTTAATCGATTTGGATCGGTTTAAAATCGATTTAAAATCCATTTAAATTGACCGGAAACCTTTTTTGTCAGTGCGGGTAATATTTTTGGTATCTCTCCGCCAGGGGCGAAAGTTACTGCAAAGGTCTGTGATCTAATTGCACAGTCAAGGGTGATTCTAAGTTCTACAAGGTTTCATTTGTCGAACTCTTCCTGATTACCAACTGCTGACAGGACCGAAATCATGTGTGGTGTGGTGTCTCCAGTAGCGTTGTTTCACCTTTTATATGTAAATGAACTTCATTTCAGGCTGTTACTTGTTCTTCGCACTAACTTAGGAAGGACTTTGTCCTCTGAACTACTGAGGGGTTATTTTTCTAAGCAACCTTGTCGACTTTATTGTGTGAGCGTGCTTCGTCTAGTAAGGCAGTCAGGCGGACCATTGCCTTCTCGGTTTTTGAATCTTCCAATAAAGTTAATTTTTTATTGGAAAACACCTAGTGCGGACACCATGTTATAAAGGAGTGCGAAGCGAAAAAACTGCTTCAAAATATTTTTTAAAGTTGATGAGATCGGTAAAATGTCCTAAATTTAGTCGGTTTTTGTAATTATTGGCAAATTTATTAATTAGAAAATGAGGTATCCTAGTGAGGTAAGACTATCTAATTTTTCACACTTTTCTATTTTTACCCAAACTCCAGTTGAACTGCATAGTATTGACCTGATGGATTACTACCATGAGTTGACTCGTGTGGAGTAAAAACACCAAGTTTTTAAAATTATTAGCCCAGCAATTATCAAGTTAAAATTATTTTTGGCAATTTTGATTTTGTTTTCAAGTCAATTGTCATTGTGACCCCTCGGTAAGCAAAACTAAATGCTTGTATTTTGCAACTATGTTTTCTTGAAGTAAAATGTCGGTGGAGATAAATCTATGAAATTTTTGTAGATGTATTTTCTTCAAATATTTTGTTCAGTTTTGCCGTGTTTAATTGTTTTCGCCAATTTGAATTGTTGCAAAACTCCAGTCTCTGTGAACAGTATCAAACTTCAATTTGTCATTTCACCAGCTGTTTCAGTGTTTAAGTAGATTTTATCAAATCTGAAACAAAATTTTTTAGTTTCGGGAAGATAGCCGGCTCGAAAATCAAGTAAAATTGAACCCGATCTGATCTTACTTTACCCAATAGAAAGCTATCATTTCGCGCACAAATTTGCTTGAGAACGAAAGTTTTTCAAATTAAAACCGAGCCCCAAACAAAAAGCTGCGGGGTTGTTAAAGTTTTGCTCCAACTTTTGTGGAGAAAGGGAACAATATATGCTTGGGGTGGTTTTTCATACTCAGACCAATAACCAAAAACAATATGCAACGATCGAAACCAGAATCTACGTTTTTCCAAATAAATGTGCTACACACTGCCCTACATGTGCTTGGATTTTGCGTAAACTGCTGGATCAAAGCTTCGAAAACTTGATAAATCAAAAAATCATCTAGCACCAAAAAAAATTCTGAAAAGTGATCAGTCAAGAAATTTAGTCCCAGAAAATTTTTATACGGCTAAAATTTAAGGACTTAATGTTTAAAACTGAAATTTCAAATTTGCAAAAGATTTTTAGCGACGAAAAAAAAATTATGGACGAATTAAGGAGCAGTAGAACGTTCCGCATTTTGCGATGAGATACAAACATCGGATGTCATGTTTATTGGGTGTCATGATTTTGTCATCAGATGCAATGTTTAAAAAAATTGACGATTGTGTCTGGCATTAGAGGAATTGCTCGCTAATCAAGCTAATTCACTAGCTTTCCTTCTTCAATTGGTCTTTTTGGTTCATTTCTTCAAGGAAAATTAGGCAAACACCTACATTTGATTTATACGAAAAATAATACCAACATCATCGTCATCCTCATCACAACACAAATCAAAACGAAGAAAAGTGTTTGAAACAATCTGAAAATTGCCTGCAAATTAACTTTAAAATGCTTTTAAAACCAAAAAGTGCCCATTGTTTGCTGTGAAGTTGG